TATGAAGAATATTATCAATAAGAAACTCACCCATTTAGTTGTAAAACCACTTCATTCACGGAAATGTGTGCAGGATAGTACAATGTCAAGGTCGTGTCAAGGTTATATCAAGGTCATGTCAAGGTTATATCAAGATCATATCAAGGTCAACATATGAATTTTTTAAGCCATATGTACAGTGAAGATTAACAAAGTACGTAAATGATATTTTAATTTAAATACTTCCGTGTCTAAACACAGTACAACGAATGATTCGCAAAACTCATTTAATAAATAATAATCGTGTTAAAGGACGTAAGGGATATGTTTGTTAGAGAAATATGAAGAATATTATCAATAAGAAACTCACCCATTTAGTTGTAAATCCACTTCATGCACGGAAATGTGTGCAGGAGGATAGTGCATTGACCTCGTACAATGTATGATGAACTGCAAGTTTTATTTTCCCAATTTTATTTAAAGTTTTATTTTCCCAATAATAATTTGATTTTCTCGCATAATGAGAAATTGTTTTCACTACATTTTGTACGAATGTGTATTGAAAAGAATAAAATAAAATAAATATAAATAAATGCAATCAAAAAAATCTATGTATATATACATATATACAAATATAGATTTTTCGAAATGTATTCTTTATACATTTTTACATATCGGAAATATAATACTTTTCAAAAACTGTGTCTCCGCGTGTTCTTTCGAACAAACGAAATTGAGTAATCTAAAAAAAACAATGATTTTTAGAAGAGCAGTTCTAAAATAAATTTTGATGAAATGATAGTAGGAATACTGTAAAACCGAGAATGGGTCCTTCTAGAATTATTTTTAGCCGGTTTTATAGATATACAAATATTTCAGTTTTTCTTTCAATCTTATTATTTTGAATGTCTCCGACGTCTGCATGATTAATCTCGTGTCTTAAAAATGTTCCGTAGCAAAAGGGAATGATAAATCTTTCAGTAAAGACGAATTAATCTACCCGCACACGGAGTTCTCTAATCTTCCTCGATCTTTCAAACTTACCTTATTACTTTGAGACGGAAAGGCGTGATTTTTAATGCATCCGATAAGAAGCCTTGAAAGTAGAATCATATAAGAGCTTCCATAAAATTTTTTTTAGGAAGTTTTAGAAATAGCCGAAGCTTGAAAATGTTCCCGAAACGTCGAAACTATCGGCGGAACAAGCTAAATCTTCTTATAACATAAAAGAGAATTGCATTCTTTCGGAGTGCCAATTTCACGTGCTAGAAATAAATTTGCGTACGAAATGAAATCATCTACTTGCTCACAAAGTGTCATCGGTTTATCGAAAAAATCTTAAACAGCATCTATAAAATACTTTTTGAAATATTTAAGAAATAATGTCTGCCGAAGCTTGTTCCCGAATTCGTGGCACTATTTATACAGCGAACAGAAAATCTGCTTATCGCAGGAAACGAAAAGAAAGTGTTCTATACGAATGCAAATTTCATCCGTCCAAAAATACTCATTACAAATGAATTACGTTATTCGTTCGCGAGTGACTATAATCTTCTTCGATTTCTGTCGTTTTGCTCAACGCTAAACCCACCATGCCGGTCAAAATTCGGACCAGTTTCACATTTTCTGCTTTAAAATTTGTCGAAATTATGATTTTCCCATCGGAAATAATTCAACAAATTTCTTTATTCAAACGTAGTCAACGAGGTCTGGGACCATTTGGCCCTGAGTTTAAATTGTCTTATTTAACGAGTAATGTAAATGTGTTCACGCGTCTAATTGAAATTTACACGTAAACTAACGTGTCTAAAAGAAGTGCATTAAAAAGCGCGTGGAACAAAATTGCTGAAGAATATTCTAAATCAGCCTAAACGTACTGCGTTATATTTTCGTCGAAAAGGTCCGCCATTCGAGTGCTAATGTAAATTAAAAGGCACCGATATTTACGCATCTGCCGAAGAGCTTACAAAGACCAACAACATATTGGGTTGGCAACCAAGTAATTGCCGAATTTAGTTATAGATGTCTCTCACTCCCATTTTTATGATATCCGTAAATGTTATATTATAAAATTATTATTATTATTATTAGGTTATTTTTTATTATCCGTGAATGTTAGCAACTGGACAAATTGAATGCAGCGGTCAAGGAAAAGCGACCAGAATTGGTCAATCGTAAAAGTGTCATTTTCCACCAGGATAATGCTAGGCCGCACACGTCTTTGTCCACTCGGCAAAAATTAATG